CCTGAATATGATGCTTGATTCATGCAAAAGGTATGAATCGTCTACATTATGAATACGTCATCATCATTATCGTCATTTGTGCCTACAACATTCTTGTCAAATGTTGTACGAGCCAGGGGCGGATTTAGGGGGGTGGGGTGGATGAATCGTCTAGGCTGTGACAGATATCCCACTGTAGGGGAAGGGTTGTCTAAAAATGTGATGACGTAGTCTATCCGTATTCGTTATCGTTTTCGTAAGCTTGCGAAAACTCCCTATTTCTGATGAAGTTGAAACATGATAGACCTGCTAAAGAACAGCGATATTCACTGCATTGGAGAATCGAGTTTTAATTAAGTTTTTTGTCACGTATGTGCTTGAATGTTGAATATTATTGATCATGTTTTTCTCCCGTTTGAGCCTTTTGAAGTACATGAAATTTAAGTTGGACAACCAAATGATCGTTTGTTTTTTTGTAAAACAATACAACATTTTCCGGCACTTGCACTTCACTTACTGAGCAGACACTCATCTCATCATTAGGTGAACAGCCCAATTGAGAGCAATAATTAGGCTTATTTGTTACTCATAAAGTCCTGAATACGTTTTCCCCTGATAATGCAGTTGCATTTTTTTATATCATTTTTTCCTCGATTGATGATAATATAAGTGTAAAATAACACTTGCACACGTGTTTTACGATATGCATACAATATCAAATTATTTGATCTCAAAGTCAATAATATTACATTATAGTATCGTATCGCATTCTACTATATTACTGGTATATCATATCATATCATGCGGTACCGGGTACAGTATCATATACAGTAAAATGTTCCTTATCTTATATCATATCATCATATAGTATCATCTTATATCTAATCATATCATATTATATATCATATCATATTGTATCCTATCATATATCATATTCTATCATAGAACTCTTATGTGATACGGGTATCCGTTTTATTCGGAGTAGAACATATCCAGATCCCATCATATACTATCACCTTTTATTATATTCGCTTGTATTTTATTTCATTATATTATATAACGTTATATTTAATTATATTACACTATATTACATTATATTAATATTTACATAAACTCAAATGTCATTATTCATATGACTACGTTTACGTAGGCCTACTGTCATGCTGATGCCTCCCCCTTCAATTTATATTTTATTGACGATAATTAGTCTGAGACTGACACTGATGTGTTTGTAATTGATAATGTCAGTCGCATAAAATTCTGTATTCAGCAGAAGCACTACCGTACAACTTAACAATAAGCTATCTTAATCGAATCTAACAACAACGAAGAAAAATATACATTTAAACATATTTATCAGTTGTGTGTGAATCATAAGATATGTTTCAGGATGGCAAACAACAGAATAAAGCTACAGTAAGTCCACGAATAAGCGCCGCGGCGCTTATACAATTTGCAGATGCTTCAGTGCGGTGCTTATAAAAAAAAAATTGTCGTGTCGCTACTCCAAGTGTTTCTTTTACACACAAGGTCTGGACACACTTCTCTGCCTTAGCAAGCTAAGGCAAGCTAGGTCTGTGGTGGTGTAGGTTCCCTTTAATATGCTGCATTGCAAGAGGTGTTGCATGGTTTGAGGCTCACTCCCAAAATCACCAATTGTTGAGTCGGGTGGAAAAAACCCATTTGAGTAGGGTGACTTTAGGAGAGACCCACTCCGGTCCTTAGTTTGTAGGCCTATATGTATTCTCGGAGAGCGGCTCTTAGCGAAAAAAAAATGGTGCGGCACTTATACGAGAGCGGCGCTTATTCGAGGATTTACGGTACATTCACTTCAGATCCGAACGAAATCTGGACTGTCTTTTCGATGCGCTGAGCGCCAGCATCCCTATTCTTACACATAAAATTAAGTTTCTGATCAGTGGATCTGGAAATCTGTGACATCCAAACTGCTTGAGGCAGACGACACCCACCACTACACAAATGGCCTTTTGTCTATTATACATTGCTTTCCCTCCGGGCATAGGACTATGTTTCCAATAAAAACTATTGCATAATTCTTTGTACCACACTTAACGTGGGTGACCGATCTACGTAAACTTATCAAGAGATGTATGATTTGAGCCATTGATGTTCTATATTTTAATTTGATTGAACCACCAATGCTACACAGTGGCCTATCTAATTTGTAATTAATAATAATAATAATAATAATAATAATAATAATAATAATAATAATAATAAAAATATTGCCTGCATTCTTACCATCAACCGATATTATTCAGTTGCACAATAATTCTTAATACAATGGAGTCTAAACCCGACTACCGCGTCACATACAGACTATCTCAATTACCACTTACAGTATTAACCATGAAGAAATAAATTTAAACTTATTTCGTTATAGTATTTACCTTATGAAAACTACTATATAATAAAAGACAGAAAATTTCGTTAAATATGAATATTCATTCATTTATTTTCAACTTCATATTTTCACACTAAAAGCAAAAATAAATAAATAAATAAATAATAATTCTTTGACTTTCCTATTTTAAATACAAATTATTAATACGAATATCTGCAAATTAATGTTTTAGGAATTAACCTAAGCCTCTGTTGTTGACACCTCGACAAAAAGTAAAAATCCGTCCATGCATCAATAATCAAATATTAGTGAATTGAATGAAGGTGAACGACCACCGTTCATGTGTTTCCAGTAGTTTTATTATTAATAATTCTATCTATATTTCAGCACTCAACATTCGATATTATTTTTGTTTTTACGTCCGTTAATATTCATGTTTGTAAACATCCAACTTAAATTGCAACAGGCCATTGAAGATGTATGTGACTGGCTTAAATAGCACAAATTAAATCTAAATATTGGTAAAACAAAAACTAGGCTCTTCTGAACAAAAATTAGATTTAAAAATACTAATGAGATTAAATTAAGTATTGGGAACTCTGACATCCAAAATGTTACCAAACATAATAAGTACTTGGGAATTTGGCTAGACCCCTCCATCTAAGGACAGATCATATCGATTATATGTGTCAAAAAATATCTAGTAGGATTGGGGTTTTAGGAAGAATTAGAAGATATTTTAACGTTAATGCACTTAATTATATTTACAGAGGATTAGCGATGCCTCTGTTCGACTACACCGATGTCGTCTGGAGAAATCTCGGGGTGGGATTAAGTGATAAATTACAAAAACTACAAAACAGAGCGGCCAGACTGATCCTCAGGGCCAGACACAAAACAAGAATTGTTGATATGCACACAATTTTGGGTTGGCAGTATTTACCTTTAAGAAGAGATTCTCACACTCTCGCTTTAGTTAAGGAATACTTGGATGGCAGAGTCCCCCACTACCTTTCTGACGTCTTTACTCCATTGGGCAGAGTTCATTCTCGCAATACACTAGAGGAAGTACTAGAGGTAATTTGAAACTTCCTATCCAGAAACAACAGTCAGGCAGAAGGATGTTCAAATTCAGGGGAACTAAATTGTGGAACTCTGCCCAAGGGAGTAGATGATTCCAAATCAATCTTGTTTTTTTTTTCTTTATTTTATTAAATTATGTTCCATTTCACTAATAAACAAAACATTTTATAAAATAAAAAGTGGTTAATAAAGTTAAAAATTAGATGAATGTTAATATAATTTATTTAACTTTTCAACTGTAGGCTTATATTATCTTATTAATGTTATTATTATCTTCATTATTATTATTAATGTTGTTCTTATGAATTTAGTATTCGATGACAGTTAAAACAATTCACTTAGCATCTTAATTGTTGGCATATTTAATGCTATTTAATGTTATTATTATTATTATTATTATTATTATTACTTTTATAATTATTTTTACTATTATTATTATTATTATTATTATTATTATTATTATTATTAATGTTCTTACGTATTATTGTATTAGATGGCGGTTACAACAATTTACTCAGCATTTTAATTGCTGGCTTAACTTAATCCTATAAATGTAATAATAATTATATTTTGTTGTTATTTTTATTATTATTTATTTATTATTATTATCATTATTATTATTATTACTGTCATTAATGTTTGTTCTTATGAATTACAATGTTATTGTTAATGTAAGTACATTAGGATTATTGTTTTGTGTATCGTGTCCTGGGCACATAAGGATAAAAGTTGGTTTTCAACTGAGTTGTTAACCCAGGTTAAACAAGAAATAAATAAATATAACAAATTTATGCCTTACATTTTGAATTCACCAACAGTACTTAAACAAGTTAATATTGCACATTTTGATTTAACCAACAATACTTAAAAGAGTATACAAAATACACATATTCCCAAAGTGAATACTTAAACAGGTTAATATTACACACTTATGTGTATGGTATGGTATACACTATATACACCCAAAGTGATCCACGATTAAACTCAACTAAACCACCTCATTTAAACCACAAATCTAGGTATACTTTAGCTAGCTCTTTGATAACGTCAAACTGCCCGACACGCCTTTGAAAAATATACCGAAGTCCTTTTTTAGAAAAGTTATTTATTATATCAGATTTCCATATATTAAGTTGGGCAGAAATATCTAAATTTCTATTTTCATCAATTTGTATTCAACCGATTACGTCTAATGTATCGGAACTCTATCCTCGATGATATTTAGTTTATTTCATTTAATTTCCTTTATGATTATTATTATTTTTCAAATTGCTTTATAAGTTTAAACAAAACAAAAAAAAGCCAATACATTAAAAAACTAATTAAAAAATTCAAAATCATAGCCTTACCTTGTCGGCTACAAGATAAACGAAAAGCGAACTTTTGTGCAATATGCTTTTCCGTTTCGTTTGGATGTTGAGTGGTAACATATTTGAATTCGATAAATTCAATCAGTGATTAGAAAAAAAAAAAACACTGATTTTTATAATATTTGATTTTCGTACCCACTTTCCTCCACAAACTGTTAATTTTTAAACTGATAGTAATGACAAATGAGAATTAGTGAAATTACCTGAGTCCGACATGATTACAAGTAAACGTGGCGTCCCTTTTGAGTTACAATTTTATCCGGTTACGTTTTCAAAGCGATGTGAGAACGCATTGGTTGTGACGAAGTATAGGCCTACACGTATATATGATGCCCTTGGCAGGACTTGTGCGATTCTTATCAACCGTAGGTTTATTTGCATTGAATGTCGTCTAAACAGTCACACTATGCTATTCGCGACATGTTTGCTTTCTGCATGAGGGCGTGAGACACTTTTTTTCATCAGAATTAGTAGAAAGCTTTTGAAATTGTATTACGTAAGAGATGGTGTATGTAAGTTTGATAACTTCCATTCAGTTTCATGGACACACTGAATGGTGGTCTGTATATCATGTCCTGAATACAAAATAAGAACACGTATTGCATGGGCATGCGCACACTGAGGTAGGTGGAGCCAAGTCTGTATATTGGAACTCAAATGCTCCTGAATTTCTTATGGTGACTTGTATTAATTTGTACACATGTGGTAATTACAAATAACTGATATATCGTTGTTATATCAGTATTAAACGTGGTGATTGTAGACGTGTTTAGTTTATTTAAAGCGATTCAAAATCCAAATCATTAAATAACCTTCTACCAGATTCAATAAGTATTTTTGTGTGGTAAAACACAAAAAAGATAAGTGCATTGTCCAAGACAAGGACACAAGCTATAGCGACCGGTATTTTACTAGAATTCACGATCCAAGTGTTACTGCTTCAATGAGTGACTTAACATGAGGTCCCACAGTGTCCTTACGGATTATATTATTGTTAACATACAACTATAAAATATGGTTTTTATCTTCCTCAGTTTAATTGTCGCCTTCATTATGTTGACGAGTTTTCAATTGGTTTTTGATGAGACTGTACATGAACAATGGCAAGTTAATACCAGGGTGATTTAAAAATATTTTTACATCTTCGTGGTAATACGTACCGTACGCTGGCATGTGTTGCATTGAGACTAGTTTATGTTAGTGTAGTCTTGTTTAATAAAATTGTTTAAAAAGACATGTCTGACCCCTTGGGGTCCGAACCAAGGGGCCGATTAGAACCTCGGTCGGGGTCCTGGAGTTAAAAAAATCCCTGGAAGGGTTCACGGGAAGCGTTTATGGCTTATTACATGTATGTTCTAAATTGTGCTTTAAAACCACATTATAGGGATTGGCAATCAAAATAACGTTATTTGGATAGGCTTGTCCGAAGGAGAGGGATTTCCCTTACCCCTGCTGGCGCCACCACTGATAAGGCAAAATCTTTATGGTGTTCAGGGATTTGGTGTCAAAGGTCATTAAGGCAATATTTTAAAACGCTAATAGTGGCGAAAAACTAGGCCGATTTCAAACTAGTCAGCAGAACTGGTGACACCTCGCATACATGGAGTATTCACAGCTTGGGTCATAGGTTACATTTGGGTCAATACCCCAACACTTAATTAGTGTCTACGTTTGTCACAAATAACATAGCACAATATATGTCGGTAGTCATTTCCACATATCCATTGGCAAGAGGCATGGTCTTTATGGTGTTTAGGGATTTAGGGTCAAAGGACATTAAGGAGTTATTTTTTCTGACATTTCAAAATGCTACTAGCGGCACACGATTGGGATGATTTCAATCAAACTTGGTCAGTATAACCTGTGACACTTCCCATGCACATGTTCACAGCTTGGTCAAAGGTCATTAGTTTAAAAATCACAAATTTTTTAATGTCTACTTCTGTCACAAATAACAGCACAGTCATGTCCTTTGCACATACCGCATGCATTTAGCATAAGAAGGGGCTTTACGGTGTTCATGGATTTAGGGTCAAAGGTCTTTATGGTGTAATTCTTCTTTCTTTCTGGCAACATTTCATAACGCTACTAGTGGCAAACGATTCTGTTTTCTATTTCTTTCCGGCTTTCTCCACCAAATATCTTGATCCGCCCCAGTACTGATAGCCTCGCGAAAGTTCGCCGAAGGCGGCCATTTCGTGAGTACAGTTAAATTCAATATATCAGGCTAGTACCGTATTGCGATTTCTGCGGGTCCACGTCAGGGGAAAATAAGTTACTTCACTGTCTGACGTAAGTTTTATATCACTGTTCTCACAAGCTTATGACATTGTTGGCGTTGTCATGTGGTAGCCATCTTGTGTGGTGTTCATTTAAACTATGGCTATTAATATTCTAAGGTTAAATATTAACGTTTGGTAATGTAAATATTTCTAAAGCCACAATTACACTAGAGACGATTACGACACGGCAATGACACAATACAGATGCGCGTAGTGTTGAAGAATACAAACTACGCGTACGCGATGACCTGTAATGTGCCGTAATCCTGTCTAGTGTAAATGTGGCTTAAGTCAGAAAAGTCAAGTATTTATTAAAAACATTGATATTTTTTAATGTACGCTATAAAAAAGGCTGTTATTTTGATTTATATTAATATTTGTAGACAGAATTACAATATAATAAAAGTGAACATTTACGTTCTGTATGCTTTATTTTTATTATATACTTTAACCATATTATTTAAAAAGAGAGAGAGAGTTTCAAAAACTTTCATTACTTATATATTACTTGGCCGGATTCTACATATTTATTGTAATATTACTGTAATTATATATATAAAAAAGTTATAAAGTATTTTAATTAAATCTTCATTACAAAATTATATTGCATAGTTTTAATATATATATATATATATAATGAGAATCATTGCTAGAAATTTAAATTCATGTATATATATATATATA